GTATGCATACCGTACATACTCTACAACAATATTTTGACTTGTTACAACAAAACACATGGGCGGCCATTCCTCAAAGTGATTTTGATGAACTCATCTTAAGCATGCCAAATCGCTGTAATTGTGTGATTCGTGTTAATGGTGGAAATACAGATTATAAATTTTCTTATCTTTACAATAAAAATGAGCAAAATCATCATTTTCGCCATTTTTTTGTCATTTAATTGACGCCGTTAATTTGAGTTTTCTCCCACAATTTGCAAAAACATCAATTTTAAGTAAGCGGTTAAATAAAACATAAGCATTAAAGTAAGAAGTCGTCCTGGAAGACTGGATTTGGTAAATATTGCTTAAATAATTTTTATTTCAAAAATATTCACTTGATCCCTAGACACTTTTGATGTGTGTATATAAACAATATTATATGTATATATATATATATATATATATATATATATATATAAACATGGATGTCACACAGGGCTATTTTTATATTATCAAAAATAACAACTTTTTCACGACTTTTTACGAAATAAAATTAAAATATTTTTGTTGTACTATCTGACGCTTTTTAGATCTGTATATAAGCGTTAGCTATAGCGGTGTGCCCGATGACACCCCCACCCCGTCCAACGTTTTGAACAGACTCATCACGTTTAGAGCGATCTATTTAAATATTTATGTTTTTGTATGTAAGTAAAATCTGATGAATTATTAAAAGTCATGGAACAAAAGTTGTTTATGATGTTAGTAATATTGCTCCTGAGAGGCTATTAATATTTCACAAATGACCCTGTACGTGTCTGGTGAAAATTCTATTTCAGTTACAAAACATATATATGTGAAAAAAGCTGCTATTGTCAATTTGACATCAACTTTTATAATTGCTTGTGGTCAATGTCGACTGCGTGCAATTACAAATACAAAGACACGACGCAAGCACATAGAAAAATTCGTGACGGCCGCTGGTTCGTTCCGTAGCTTAGTTGGTATATAGCGTCTGACACGGTAAGCTAGAAGACGTCGGTTCGAATCCGGCCGGATCGAAAGAATTTTTTCTGAGTGTTCGATCTTTGTATTAATAATTATTACAAACATTTGCAACACGTATGCAGTCCCGTCCGGCCTTACCTGATGGGATCGCTCCGAAGTGACAGTCTCGGCGGGACGCGACAGGGGCGCGTGAGGCGGCCGCACCTGCGACCCGTTGTCACGCGTGCAACGATTAGGTTCTGGGGGCCCAGTCGCCACTGGGAAGATGAACTCTCATATTTAGAACATGCGCATAATAAAAGAAACAAAAAACAGACATCAGTTGTATTGTCGAAATATATAATTAAAGATAAGAGAATTAATCGAAATATATGTGCTATGCTTGAACAGTTTTAGTCAGTCAGTAAAAAAATCATAATGTACCTGTGGTGAGCGGGATGGCGAGGCGTGCGTTGACGGCAAGCAGGTGGTCGCGGCGCTGCAGCAGGCTGCCTACGTGCTCCTCCAGACGCACATTCTCCGTGCGCAGTTGGTGCAGGCAAGACAACAGTGATGCGACTAGCAAATACATAAATATTTTTTGTTTTAAGGGAAAAGTAACACCAAAGCAACTAATGTAACCGAGAATGATAGTGATTAAGTTCATTCCTCGTAAATTGGAATGAAATTGTCGGAGGGGCCTTTACGTGGTGGACCCCTGTACCATGCTGCCTTCTAGACTACCTGCCTACTTTGGCCTGAGAATCCTTAAATACATAACAATAACAACAAGTTTATATGATGGTGGTAGAAAAAAAAATCGTACTGTCAAAATGCTGCGCCTGTTCCATGAGAAATTGTGAGCCCTGCTCCCACTGCCGCTCGAGCAGTTGATCCAAGCTTTGTGCGCCTGACGATCCGCTGCGAGAACCGCTTGAACCCTGTAAAGAAATATTTCATCAATAAAAAGAAACTACTTTACTTTGAAAAAGAAAGGGAGTTTTGGGCACTTTAATATTCTGGACACTAAGGTTCAAGGTTCACATTGGCTTGACAGCCAGCGTGCAAGCGTGCACGCAACTAGTTTTCACTAGATCGGCGAGTTTAATTTATTGACCAATCAGAGTCGGTCGCTAAAAATGCTTCTTCACAGAGATACACAGATTGTTTTATTCTGTTTGAAAACAGAATAACAATTTCTACTAAATCTTTCAGATTTTTGTGATAAGAACTGTTGTAACGACAGTATAATAGTTGTTTAATATTTTGGTTATACTTTATGTACTAATAATAATGCTAATTAATAACCATTTGCTTTCATTTTTAATATGGATTGAATTAGTTCAGCTCATTTAGGGACTAGTATGGTTTTCATATAAAAGACTGGCAAACAATTGTGTTTAAAGTGGAGATTGATCACAGAAACAGACTTCATCATGTGTTTGACGATGATAACGTCCCACTTCCGGGATACTCTTCCACCAGTTCCGGTTTACGCAGAACTCCAACAAATGTCGCATGTCCTTGAAGCATTTTGAACCAACACAAACAACGATCGCCTAACAATGCCCGCTATTACAGCTTTTGGTGTATGTACGTGGCCGTAGGTTACCGATTGTGCCTTGTTGATGAGTGGTGGCGGGATAAGCATGTCGCCACCAGAGGTGCCTGCCGCGTGCGCGGCGAGCTCGGCCGTCAACTGTTCCTGTAGCCTTGCGGCTGCACCGCTCTCCGGGTTTAGCTCATTACCCAGCATATGTGGTGCCGTGCAGCTTGCCCCTATCCTTGAACACAAAATACAACAATTTCTGACGTTATAATTTGAGGCGATAATGACATTAGCAAAATTTTCATTTCACTGGATAATCTCAAATTTTTAAGTAATGGCGAAAAGTACTTACTTCGACTCCATTTTAGGTTTTAGTGGCCGATCCGAACCTGCATAACCAACACCAAATATAAAAATGTTCAATTAACAAATAAAATGCAAAAAATAATCGTCGCCAAAAGTCAACCCAACTATTGTAAAAAGAAATTAAATACGTACTGGGTGAGCTTGGGGGTGAATCTTTAATTGTTTCCTGGTAAATAGGCGGGGGCTGCGGGTGCCGACGCACACTCGCTAGGCTCTGCGTGGACGTCTCTGTGAATATACGCGCAATATTTGTCAAACAACAGGATAATTACAAGTTATACATTTATGTGCCTATTATTTTCCTTAAGATAATTGTATGTACTTATTATATGCAATTATCAATAACCATAACGTGTTTCGTTTCTGTACAATACCATTAAAAACATTATGAACTCCGCTACGAGTGGCAATTATACAAATTGCGATTTTTTAAAAGATGTCTGTGTATTATTATTTATGGAGGAAATTTATACTTACGCGCAGGAGGTGGTGGCGGAGTAGGCATGGATGTCATCGCAGACATTGCTGCTCTCTTTTTGTTTCTTATCGGCGCTGGCGGCATAGGTATATTCGCTAGGTTCGTGGGATCCTTGCTCGAGCCCGCCATTCCGCTCACACTACAGAACACGCATTATATGATTTTACTTATAGTAGTTCTAGGTACTATATACGAATCACAACAAAAAACTTCTAAAATCACACAGCGCAAAATTTTAGTGACAACATAAAGGTCTATTTTCAATTTGTTTGTTTGAAAGTTTCGTAAAAAAACATTCGCTACTATTTGCATTCGCTGTGCTTTTTAATATTAAACGATATTACGAAGTCATATAGTAATGGACCATGTTTGTAATTAGTGGGTGTTTTAATTCAACACATCACTTCTGCATGTAACCTACACACATAGTTGCATTTGTCTCGAGCTTAGGATATCACGCTAATGATGGTGTTAAAGCGGAATTTCTTTAATTTGGCGTTCATAAGCAGCATGTTTGATTTACGATTAACATTTGGGTTTTTCCAATTCATATGGAAATCAATAAAATTCGCAAATAACTTGTTAAGCTATGCTATGTTAAGCTTATCGCCACCAGCGTATACATCGCATCTTTTAAAATAATATAGTTTCTTAAAACTTGGAATAGATTAAGAAAACATTTGCTTAATTGTACCAGGTCGCATTGATATTTAGTTACAAGAAAATGTGTACTAAGTAGGTATGTCATTATCTTGATTTCACACAACGTGTTGCACTTATATGTCCCATTTCAGTGTTTTTGTACATTTTTTTTATTAGCTGCAATCTAAAAATACGTTTTGCATTGAACTCAATAGTAATCCAGGACATTTTGGAAAAATAATCATAAAAAAATGCTATATTGGGTATCGTAACAAACTCAAACATTTTGCATTTTTATACCGCCACGAATAAGCCCTGCTGCAAATAATTTTAGTAGAAAAAATGAACGTTAGAAAACAGATGTGCAAAATATTATATAAAGACAAGACGGTGACATACCATCTTCAACAGATTGTTTGTTTATGAATGTCGTACAAAAATATACTCTAAACGAAATACTTATGAATTACATTATATAATGTTGACCCCACCGAAGCCGTACGTAAGATGTGAGCTTTTCTTTATTGGGTGCTACAATCATATAATCAATATATACATAGTTATAGCTCACAGTTTGTATATTCATCTTCGTTTATTTATTTCATTGAATCAAAATAAGAATTCGTTTTTGAAATTTAATGCTTATTACATTTTATATTGTTACAAAACGTTAATATACAAAGAGCCTGTTAAAGAAAGAAAAATTACCTTGGTTTATTGGGATCCTGTTGCATTTCGTAAGAGACATTGAGGCCTCCCCAGGAGGAGCGGCTAGCCACGCCGTGAGGCAAATGCCCCGGGACACTTTGCTCCATGGCAGCCTGGAATAAGAAATGCGGTAAAATTACTCTTTGTTACATTATAATGCTAAACGCTAGTCTTAAATAAACTACTTTTCGTTGAGAGTTATTCAGAAAGAAGGATATTCTGAGTTCATACTAAGAAATAAAGAGACGTAAAAGTACGTGTTGCGATTCAATATAATGAAGGTCATAAGTTCGTCCACGTTTATAATGGAAACTTCATAAATAAAATTGTCTTAGATATCGTCTGCAGAATGCCTACTTTAAGTCAGCACGAACGGCGTCGATATTTAACAGTAGATGCAAATTAAGTGTGATTGTTTAGTTTATCCACCAATACTATGATAGTAAATGACAAATGTGACATTCTATGCTAAAAAAATAGAACAATAAAAAAAACATACCATGTATTAAGACAACCATGTGTAGCACACAATATAACACGTGTATTTATTGGTGATTCTGAATTATCTCACTCCAAAAATAACACAAACATCTTAACGGTATTACACTGTAACAGTATCAATGCTTTCAAATATTTTATTGCACGAAAACGACATAATACGACGAATGTTAAATTCCTGCGTTCACATGTAAATGAACATGTTCGTTAGAGACATTTGATAAAATTTAAAGCCCTATTTTAAAAGGAACACTAGCAGATGTGGGAGCCGGCGCCCGGCGGCGCGTCTTGGTGGCGCTCAATGGGTGAATGGCGCGCACATGTGCGACTGCGCAGCGGCGACCTGCAGGTAGCGAGGGGACGAGGAGCAGGTACAAGTCGCAACAATTCCCGCCATTATGGGAACACTGAAAAGGGTGTCATCGGCTCCATCTACCTTTTTTATTTAGAGACAATATCACAGAAAATTACAATATTTTGCTCTGCGTATAATTGTAATAGAACAGTGTTGTAATATTACACTTTAATTATTTTGTAATGATTAAACAAAGTGTAGGGCACGCAATGTAAAGAACCATAATTATATAACAGTGAAAAAATATCATTTATACTTGTAACAAAATGTGCTGCACCAGAAAAAATTGAGGGCATAAAGACAACTATCACCAAACAATGGAATATATTGTTATAAATTATTGAAATGTTCGTGATCGTTTGGGATTTTTACGAAATAAAAACATTATGATCTATTTTTATAGTTCTTAATGTTACTTGACGGTCTCTCTAGCCTGTCTTTTTTAGGCAACGCCACCTTCATCGTAGCCTATGGATATACTTAAATGGAAAAAAAAAGGTATGTAACAATATCACTTATACGCATATGTGTATGATTTTTTGTTACCTAGACCTAGAAGTGGGCAGGCATGTAGGCCACGCGTTTCGTAACTTCGAATAATGACCTAAATTGTAATCAATTGTCTCACTCACTTGCTTTTGCGGCTGGTGGAAAATATGCGGTGCGGGTCCAGGCATATCCGTTGCCGCCGACACCTAAACAAACGACCCAATTAAATTATTATACTTTCACACTGTACTATGAATTTCATTCAGACTCAGCGGTTATAAAAAACTTACTTGTTTAGTACATTATTTAGTTTAGCACCTTGAACGGTGTCATTGTACAGCCGAACACAAGAAGCGTAACATTTTTGTATGAAACTCAATCTTAGCACGTTGTTATAAGTTGTACGGTTGTGCCGTTCACTGTACAATGTAAATCAAATCGATATGGCATATTGATGTATCCAATTTCAATAACAAACATTAAGTAAGCACTAATGGCATAGAAAATTGCTTTCCAAGCATTTTGTTTCGAAAGGAGTTATATTACCTACTACTGTTTTTTATTAATATAAAATAAACAGTTTTTATCATGCATTTCACAATTTGCGAAAGCTTAATTGTATTAACACCATGCTCCATTTTCATCGGCAACCTTACATATATTCAAGCGGTGCTAATTTATACATAAATATATACACTTATAAGCTCATGAGGTTACCACACAACTTTCTGCAATGTAAAACACAATTTTGTGTCTCAAATGGACACACTCACTCAAATACTAGCGAAGCGTTCATTACACTTCGTCGTTTTCATATAACAATAATGAGCTAGCATACGTAGAATTTGCGAGTGTCGAAACAAAGTTTGAAAATATGAGTGAATTATTTGTTTTAGTACGAAGAGGTAGTAGGAGAGTCGTTCATTGTGTTCATAAATGTATTTTAGTTGCCAATACATTTAACAATCGTGGTATAATTATATCGTAATTATAATATATTTTAAAATATTGTAAAAAATATTTGTTATATTTAGCTACGTTGAGGCAGCGGATGGCGGTCCGAGTCCAGACGGATCGAATGAATTTTTCTTTGTTCGATCTTTGTATCAATACGTGTGGCGCACTATAAGTTTCCGGAATGAATGAAAAAAATACTATAAACGGTCAGAAATGAATTTATTGTTACTCAAAATATTCTCCGTTAGCGTTAATGCACTTTTTCATACGAATGAACCAATTTTGGAAACATTTATGCCACTCCTCCGTGACAATCTCTGAAACATATTTTTCATACTCTTCGACAACCTCTTCAGGTGATGAAAATCGTTGAACGCGTAACTGGTTCTTAATTTTTGGAAATAAATAAAAGTCACAAGGTGCCAGGTCGGGACTGTCACTCATAAGGTCAACGTTGTTCACCTTCAAAAATTCATTTGTCTGTCTGGCCGTGTGAGAACTGGCATTATCGTGGTGCAAGATGATACGGCGTTTACGGTTATTTTTACGGAGTATGTCAATAACTTCCAGCAAACAAATGCTCATGTACCAATCACTATTCACGGTACAACGATTCTCCAAAGCAACAGTAGCCACGTGTCCAGTTTTATTACAATAAGAAACAATCATCCGGTTAGAGGCACTTTGCACGCGCGCCACTTTAATTGGTTTCGGCTCATCTCGAAAGACCCATACGTTCGGTTGCTGCTTTGTTTAGGGATCGTAACTATAAATCCATGTTTCGTCACCTGTTACTATGTCCCACACCAAATTTTACGCCGCTTCGTTGAATCTGGTAAGCATGGCATTGCACCAAGTGACGCGGTTCGTTTTTTGAGCCTCAGTCAAATTGTGTGATATCCACCGAGAGCACAGCTTTTTCACACCCAAATGTTTGTGTAGTATTGATTGTATTTGACTCATGCCTATACCCAAAGATGCCCGAATCTCATGGTGTCACATGCCTGTCTGTTTTGATCATACGGCGCACAGCATCGATGATTTTGTTTTTTTGATAACTGCCTCCGTGGCCGCACGGTTACCATGCCGGACTGCCACGCAGAGGTCCCAGGTTCGATTCCCGGGCCGGGCGAAATATTTGTATGACCTACATTTATTTCTCTCGTGAGTTTGGGTGTAATTTGTGGTTGTCTATGTGTGTGTCCATGGCACCCGCGACACAGGGTTTCCCTAGTGCGGGGCTATGTTGAGTGTGTGCGTTATTATTATTATTATTATTATTTTGTTGTTCACAGCAGTGGACGGGCGACCATCACGAAATTCTTCACTGAGATTCACACGACCGCGTTTGAATTCTGTAAACCAGCTATAAATAGTCGTCTTGCATGGTGCTTCATCGCCAAAAGCAGTTTGAAGCCGAGCGAAGCTCCGCGGAGCTGTTAAATTACACTTGAAGTCGTAGAAAATCATACCACGAAAATTTTCACGAGTTAAATCCATGGTGATGTAGACTACCGATTTCTAAAATAACGCCACAATGTAAAACCCAGTGACAGTCAGATGAAACAAACTATATTCTACTGCCAAAGAGTTCCATTTTCAAATGTTGTAATTACTTTTTAAATATTGTTTATGTAAGTGGCCAGTTCCGGAAACTTACTGTGCGCCCTATGTAATAATGATAAATATTTATTAAATTTGTATTGAATTGATATTCAATTATTTTGTGTGAAATTACTCCACTAGTTTGTTATAATTATTAATATAAAGATCGAACTTAGAAAAGTCTTTCGATCCGGCCGGATTCGAACCGACGTCTTCTAGCAAACCGTGCCACACGCTATGCCAACTAAGCAACGGAACGAACAAGCGGACCTCAGGAATTTGATGTGCTTGATTGTCGGAACTTTGTATTTGCTTTTTCAATGACTGTTTAGCCGTAGCGCCATGTATGAGCAATCTATGAAAGTTTTTCGTCACTTAGTCAGATACCTTTACAGCTACCAGCCCTAGCTAGAGATTATTATTTATTATTTTGTCACTGAAACTCCGACCTCTAGCCAACGTTTCCTTTTGGTACGATAGCCTATGATCGCATATACAACTCAGCAAAGTTTATTAAAAAAACATTTACTATTACATATATCTAAGTCGTCGGCGTATTGCAAGAAGTCATTAATTGCTATATAAATTATACGGCAATTAATGACTTCTTGCACTAAGCCGACGAAGTGGTTGTTACCCTAATATTCTCAAAAAGTCAACCTGTCCAAAGAGGTAATTTTTGTCGTCTTCTTATTGCAAAATAATAACTTTTGCTTTTTATTTTATTTAAAGACATGAATGTTACTGCATTCTAATTTTAATAGATCCTTCCACGCAACAAATGTCAATCAGGATTCTTGTCTGATGTGTTGTTATATGACAATAAGATTAAATCACAAATAACATCTCAATTGCGACAGAAAGTAGTGACTATAAGAGACATAATTACACGGGTAGCGGAAAATATTTTGACGACCGCGTTGACTCAGTTGTTTGCACTGTGGGCAAGGGGGAGGATCCGAGTTCGATTCCCGATAGGACCAATTTGGGAAATAAACTCTGGGTAATGCCCCGAAGTGAATTCCGTTGCTCTGGTACTCATAGTGGAAGAAAGTCCCTAGTTTGACACCAGGTAATTGATGTTGCTGTCTGGCACATTATATTGTACATTACAGTACATTATTTGGAGACTGCAGGTATAACTAATATGCCACACTCCTTTGACACAGAGGTGCTGGCTGACGCAAGTAAAAGGTTTGCCAAATGGAAACTGAAGTAAAAATGCAAGTTTGTCGTCAATATGCGTTTACTATAAGAATTCCTTGGAAACTGGCAAATCATCAGTTCTTCATTCACACCTGTTCGGCCAAAACGAATGAAACAGCTGTTTTATTTTCCAATTTGAGAATGGTCTAAATAATAAAGTTTTTCTATGTCATGTACTGAATTTTATGTAAAACAGTTTAATAATTTCGTTGAGTTTTATAAGTAAACTAAAGCAACATAGTTCCCTCATCATTTCGTCGTTGTTAACAAGCAGAAAATTTTAATTAATTTTCTTTTCTTTTATTCTTAAGAGTTTTTTTAACAATCAAAACTTTGTTCTGCAATCATACAAAGCGAAACAAAATTGTTACTCAGTTCGCCTATTCTTTGGATACCTTACAAAAACAGTACGCCACGTTTTGCGACCCTTTTTCTTAACATTGAATTTCTTTGGGGCTCACGTGAGGTTTCATAAGCGAGCTGATTATAAAAGTTAGTAGTTTAGTTGTATATTCGAGTGAATTTCATTCACTAAAGATTCGAAACAATTAAGCCGCACTACATGATTTTCGTCACCAACGTTGATGTGGTTAAGTCATTTAGTTATATCGTGGGCCGGTTTGACACGTCATATGTGTGTTCTTGTCCACGCAAAAATGATGTATGGTAATTACTCTTAAATTACGTTTTATTGTTTTTTACCGCGCCATAAACCAAAATATAAATGTATTCTACAATTTGGAACACATAACAATTAGTATTTTCTGTCAGATTTGTAATGGAAGCCGAAATAAACCGACTGTTAACAAAAATATGATTTTTGGTTAACTTCAGTGTCATGCATCGAGTATATAACCAGAAATAGAGACGAAATGTCATTTAATTTGTTTGAAAACTATTCTGCCATATCATTACTGTGACAACTGCGCTCCGATTGGCTAGCCCGAGTTCGAAACAATTGACGGGTGTCGTCAATGGGTGTTGTCAACTATTTCACTTCAAATAGTTAACTTGAGCTTTGCTATAATGGACGAAAATTGCAAAATTACATATTTAATATTTAATTACCGATGAAATAATAATATAATAATAACGCACACACTCAACATAGCCCCGCACTAGGGAAACCCTGTGTCGCGGGTGCCATGGACACACACATAGACAACCACAAATTACACCCAAACTCACGAGAGAAATAAATGTAGGTCATACAAATATTTCTCCCGGCCCGGGAATCGAACCTGAAACCTCGACGTGGCAGTCCGGCATGGTAATCGTTCGGCCACGGAGGCAGTTAAAATGTGATTCCGTTTGTTTTGTAATTAGATGTTTTGCTGTTTTACCCACACCACCGAATAGAACAGCACGGCATTGTTAGAGATATTATCTTTATTACAATAAATACAGAATATCTTTTGGAATATACGGAGACGTACACACAGGTCAGTAGCTGCCCTGTCTATATTTCAGTGCAAACGGGAGTTGATATTTATAAGAGCTGTATCGCTAATGTGTTACCAGGAATATATGGCCCTTATTTCGTGTCTATTTCTGGTTATATACTCGATGGTGTCATGTGAACTTTCATATCACAAACTATCCCTAATACACTGCTATAGTTTAGAATAGGAAGGAATCATATTAGTTCAATAAGTTGTCTGGTTTAGTTTCCTGATAAAAGAGCTAAAACTCTAGATCGTCAGCAAGGCTGACTTTACTTTAAGACGCTGATTTTTTCTAGTGAATTCAGGGATCATTAACGACAAAAATATTTGCCAGCCTTTAAAAAATACATAAAAATTTGTTAAGACAAATAAGTAATCTTGAAATTAGCGCGCTTGAGTTGTGTGTTAACCACCCATAGCATGAACCTGTGCGTGCGCGGAGAGGTTGAGTCCGTGGCTGGTCGAGGGCAAAGGCACCGACACCAGCAGCGAGGCGGGCGCCTCGCGGTCGCTTTTCCCGCCCTAAACAACCCGTTTAGTTAGTACGCTGATAAGCTATGCTATTCCACGCAATAGGATATAGTATTCTCCTAAAATCGTTGTTATATGTAACTCTTAACTGTATATTTGCATCATTTTATCTTAGAATTGTTTTTAACTACTACATGGAATTATTTGGTGTAGCCGCAATTTTAGGTCACACCTAAAACATGCAATCTGCTAAAATTTTAGTTATAAATTTTTGTTGACCTAATTTGTAAAAATATGCATTTTAAATATAATTTGGGGTTATTATTCAAAAAAGTCTGGAACTAAAGACATTTCTGAATATATAATACAAAATATATTCAGGGTATTATTATAATTATCAGTCCAGGTTATATACTAATTAGTCATTTGAGTTTCATTTAAATATGATTTTATTTCAAGACTTCTGTCGAAGTCTTTAGTATAATTTGAAAAACCCAATCAATATATTTTATTCAGTAATTATGACATTGGAAGATGCTAAAAATTCTTTCAACTTATATTTCGCCATTGTTCTTTGCAGTTTAAAAAGTGACACTTTCAGTAGCTTAAACTGTGGCTCAGTGTAACTCTTGCTACCATTTTACAACGGCAAATGTAAACTGTAATACTAAAGTAGTACGTATGGTAGAAAACGCTCTAGAGACTCATTAATAAAGATAAGCTAAGACCAAATGCAACAAAGCAAGTTTCCAGTCTTGTTACACTATTCCACGTTCAGTAGAAAAAAGTAGCCCGTGTTCTTACGTATTTAAATTTCGAATAATCAATCCTACTGCGTGGATTGAGAATAAGCTTAGAATTTAAAACATACTATAATGAGATGATAAACACATACGTAGTTGTATTCGAGTATTGTAGGTATCATATGTATTGTATTGCATGTACAATAAATACATGAAAATCTTATGTATTTACTTGAATGTATGTATAACTGATGGCTTAAATAGTAGCGCAAATGCAAAGGCTGTAAAATAGCGCAAAACGTGACAATTTTCTGAATAAAGCATAGTTTATTAAGTCATGCTATATTTAGTACTTATGAAATGCAAATAAATTACGTACTGTAAGCTTTTGAAGTAGTTGAAGTCATTCATTTTAAAACCATCATAAGAAGTAATGAAAAGAAATGGGAATATGGTTGAAATATTTTCAGTATAAAATAAGTATTGGACCATGTTAAAATAAGAGTGATAGGTACTGACCGGTTGTGACGGTGAGCGTATGTTGGATGGTGGGTTCATACCGCTCGGCCCGGGCATCGGGCTAGGAAGATGCCTAAATTTAAAAAAAAATGTTGTGTTAAAGATCCATCCAGTAGGATGTAAATTAGGTTTGTAAAAATTGTTTGATGTAAATGTAAATTACATTATAAGAGAGATAACATGTACCTAGGGCTGGGTTGCGAAGCAGGACTATGCGCGGGTGGCGGCGGCGGCGGCGGAGGAGCCGGACTGACGCTTGAAAACGGCCGGGCCGCCTGCGCTGACTCCGCCTCCGTCTTAGCCTGCCGATAACAACAACATTCAACTTTATACCAATAGTCAGAATAAAATTACAGTCGCGGCGACGGGAAACCTGTTCTATTTTTAATTATTTCTCTAGTAGTGATAGACAAGAAAAAAATACAGATTCACTGGTCCAATTCAGTAATTCTTCAAGTAAAATTTGAAATGAGGGTTGACCATGAGTCTAGGCGAAAGCGTAGTTCAAGAGAAACGTGGAGGGCGCAACGTTTTAAATTACAGACTTCTAATTTATAACCGATTGTTGCGATACATGCCTTTTTAATAACTTTCTCGCCCTCCGTGTGAATGTCGTTAGGAGCAGGACCCTCCCACGCGTTGTTTGAGTTGTTTCCACTTTGAGCGTTATCATTTTGCTGTAAGAATATGTTAGTTATTAAGTTCAGGCCTTTACGTGTGTAGTGTAACTACCATTGGGCTATAATAGCAGAACAAAAAAAAATTAAGAGATGTTTTGTTACTCCGGGTCACATAGTATCTCGTCCATTGGTAATTTGTTTAATACGAAACCTCAAATCCTAATGCACAGTACTTCATTCCTAGGGGGCGTAAGAAAATGTATGGGTAAATTAACAAGAGCTGATGTGAAATAACACATATAGGATTCTTTGTGTTAGTAAATCTGTACATAGCAGCAATAGCAACGACACTGCGTCGTTTGGCTGAGAAATACTTTCAGTTTCGCTTGCAGATTTCAGGAAAAAAAGGGCACGTAGTGTTTGATTTTGTTCACATTGTATTATATAACGCATTATTTTCTGAATTTTTGTTTTTGCCATGCTCCATAGACGGCTCACCAAACTTCCGACTTCGGACTGAACCGCGTCCAATAAATATTACATGGAATATTTTGAGGGGCCTCATATTTGTGAGATATTGAATGAAATTTGTATTTACGCTGCCTCGAATACAAATTCGTCAAAACGCTCATGAAACCAAACAATGTCGTAACTCAAAATTGCGGAATTAAGAAAATACAAATTGAAAATTGAAAAAAAAAATACTGATAGGATCGTATTGTAATATTGTGATTGTTTTTATTTATACATAATAATTAATTATCCATTTATAAATGAACGTGGGGCGCACTATAAGTTTCCGGAATGAATAAGGAAAAAATACTATACATGGTCAGCAATGAATTTATTGTATCTCAAAATATTCTCCGTTAGCGTTAATTTTTCATACGGTTGAACCAATTTGAAAACATTTATGTCACTCCTCCGCGATAATCTCTGAAACATATATTTCATACTCTTCGACAACCTCTTCAGGTGATGAAACTCGTTGACCGCGTAACTGGTTCTTAATTTTTGGAAATAAATAAATGTCACAAGGTCAACGTTATTCACCTTCAAAAATTCATTTGTCTGTCTGGCCGTGTGAGAACTGGCATTATCGTGGTGCAAGTTAATACAGCGTTTACGGTTATTTTTACGGAGTTTTAGTCAATAACTTCCGGCAAACAAATGGTCGTGTACCAATCACTATTCACGGTACAACGATTCTCCAAAGCAACAGTAGCCACGTGTCCAGTTTTATTAAAAAAGAAACAATCATCCGCTTAGAGGCACTTTGCAGGCGCGCCTCTTTGTTTGGTTTCGGTTCACCTCGAAAGACCATACACTCGATTGTTGCTTTGTTTTGGGGTCGTAACTATAAATCCATGTTTCGTCCCCTGTCACTATATTCCACATCAAATTTGACGCCCCTTCGTTAAATCTGGTAAGCATGGCATTGCACCAAGTGACGCGATCCGTTTTTTGAGCCTCAGTCAAATTGTGTGAGATCCACCGAGAGCACAGCTTTTTCACACCCAATGTTCGTGTAGTATTGATTGTATTTGTATTTGCCTACGCCTAAAGATCTACGCCCGAATCTCATGGTATGTCACATCACTGAGATTAACACGATCGCGTTTGAATTCTGTAAACCAGCTATAAATAGCCGTTTTGCTTAGTGCTTCATCGCCAAAAGCAGTTTAAAGCCGAGCGAAGCTCCGCTGAGTTGTTCAATTTCACTTAAAGTCGTATAAAATCATACTACGAAAATTTTCACGAGTTAAATCCATGGTGATGTAAACAACCAATTTCTAAAATGATGCCATAATGTAAAAACAAGTGACAGTCAGATGAAACAAACTGTATTCTACAGCCAAAGAGTTCCATTTTCAAATT